GGCCGCCGAAGGGCGACCACGATCGCCGACGCCGCGGCGATCTTGACGCGTCGCGAGGCATGAACGCGGCGGTAATGGCTCGGTGACGATCCCAGCGACGGAACCTGCTCCTGATACCAGTTGTTGAAACTGCACAGGATCAATACTCGCTGGAACGCTCACTATCCCTCTCTCCGAATTCGATGAACGCTAAGAACGAAACGATGAACTCAGTGGACAGAAAATTGGTGCAGCGCAACGAACTGCTGCTTTTCAGTTTTCTCTTCTATTTTATTAACCCTGATTACATGCAAGACTTGGCACTACTCAGTACCGCCCACGCCCCGCGCTTTCTGCTGCGCCATCCCACAGCCACGCGATGTGGGCGACATTGCCGGGTGACCAAGTCCCTCCCACACACACATGCGCACGACGCGAAGGAAGCGCCGCGCTCACCTCACTACATGCTGAAGATAGACACACGCGCACACACACGCAACAGAAAGAGTAAACTCAACATGTGTCCTGTCGTCGCGCCATGCGCGTCCTGGCCGCCCTGGGTAGACCACGTACGATGACAGCTCACCGGTTGCAACTACGAGCTAGAACGAGCAGAGGAGAGCAGCGAGGACGGTCACTCGCGAGAGCAAGGTTGTTGCACCGGCCGCGGCGCCCTCATCGGCGGCTGGCCAGGGTCAGAGATCCGAGGTACAAGCACTGAGCCAGAGGTCGCGCCGTATGTACTGCCAGACGGGGAGGATCGAACCGTTGGATCTTTCGGTTCTCTGGTTTCCGATCCATCGATCCAAATCCTTTGACTGATATCAGAATGGAGCCCATCTGGTTAGATTTTATGGACCGGTTCAATGAACCGCTCCACTGATCCGAACCACGCCCATCTTTAGACTGCGGAAGGATACTATACAGCTCATCTCCTACTCTTATCTTAATCACTAATATGTGTACTTAGTATATATCTTTGGCATGCGGGGACGATTAGGGATTACATGGAGGATTATGATTTCTTTAATTTGGATTACACCCATCACTTGCTGCTTGCACCCGTTGTTTCTTCGCACTTCCTCGGCTTAATTTGACGTGATTTTTTCTTTGTTCTTCCATTTTTTTCTTGTGCCTCTTTCAGTCTTTTCTGATTTGCACTACTTGTTGTCGACCCCCATGGTATACACACGGTTTCATATGCATGCAGTACGTCTTTGTCCACTGCGACGAGCAACTATGCTAGCTTGTCTTTGCTCTTGACTGATGATTGACGATGCTGAGTCTGAACTCCTCCAATAGAGCATGCTCATATCGCAAGCCCTCATGGAGCACATAACTTTACTTTGTGTGTAGACTTTCTTCTTTTGATATTGTTATGTGGTACATATCACTGTGGTTAGGTTGCCATGATTTTTTTTGAATGAAGAACTGATAGGTGCACTTACACGGATCCATCCTTTCTTCTTCAGTACTTACTATCACTGCTAATAGCCCAGCATGGCTTCTACTTCTATCTGATTTCTGAGTTTATATTCAAGAACAACTAGTGGGTGTGCATGGTTTCTGAATACATCAACAGAAACCACTCATTATACTTGCATAAGCTGCCGTGGACTTGTCACCTTTTGTCTCTATAAAGTAATCTGCTGCTCTCCCTATGTGAAAGCGCGGCAGGGGCAGGCGTCGAAAGGGCTCCCTGCTGCTGCACTGTAGCCGCGACAGGGACAGGCGCCGAAAGGCTCCCCTGCCGCACTGTAGCCGCGGCAGGGGCAGGCGCCAAAAGTAAGCCCTGTTGTCACATCTAGTCACTGTAGCAGCATGCAGCCTGGTATGTCTGTGTACTAGAATTAGATGGGTAGAGTTGTATATATAGTTTCCCACTGCAACTCATTAAAGAGAGCGAGTTCAGTTTTGCCAGCTCCTCTGCAGAGCTCCGGCCAACGCTGTTGCTTGTGTTGTATGTGTGCGCTCTGTTCTCCCTCCCTTCTTCTACCTCTAGCCATAGTGTGTGGTCGACAACGCCGGTGAGCGGTCGGCTCACCCGTGCGGGAGATCCCAGGACCAACAGTCTCATCTTCCTTTCTGCCATCACTATATCATATCATCTCAATGGCCCTTAGCCCTGGCAAACCTTCCACTCTGTTTGTGAGGACTGAGGCAAAAATCTTCTGAGTCTTAGTAACCATGCATTTAATCAGATTGATAGGTTTTTTCCTGAATAATGCTTACTGAGCTCAAGATTTATGCATGGCAGTAAGTACCTGCCCTATCGCACATAAAAATGATAATATTCTACCCGTCCTCCTACCTTCTCTTCTCCTCTTTCTTGTCCACTTTGTACCACTGATCAATCAACGTCCCCCTACCTTCTCTTCTCCTCTGTGTTGTCCACTTTGTACCACTGATCAATCAAACTTGGGCGATTAGCAACATGTAGCTCTTCCATATATGAAATGATTAAGGATGTCAGCACATAATAAAAAAGGAATTCCAATGGCACATGGTGTCCTGTGTGTCCTCTAGAAGAACCATTCATCAGTCAGATGTTTTTTTTACGTGTTTTCTGCTCTGACAACTGTGGTCTAATTGACTGAAAAGGAGAGGACTCCGGCACAAAAGGGAATGCTATGTTTCAATTTCAAGACACAAAGATTGGAATTGTAATACTGTTAGCTGGACCTAACCAAGCTTCTTTCATCTTTACTAACTAGATGTCTTTTTGTGAAAAAAAACTTTCAGAAAATGAAGTATGTAGTAGGTGGCTTGGTGCCTTGTTTGTTCAAGCATTCTGAGTTCCACATGAGAAACATGGGAGTGCTTGCATGGAACCTAAGACCTACATATGGTAGGGTACTGCATGAATAGAGGCTGAATAGTGTAGCACTCGTCTATTTCAGTTCTCTCAAACTCCTGTATCTAACCAAGAGTGAGTAGGCATACAGACATTCTGTAAAAACAAACGTAAGACATAAAAATGGTAACTTTATTAACCAACGGAATTTGAACTAGCGCCATGTGTTTCTGCTAAAATTCGAAAATACAAGTGGATCACCTTTCAATTAGGTGGACAAATCTGAGAAACTGTTGCTTACTCAATATGCACACCTCTAGACAACTGAATAGTAGCACCTTCTCTAGCAGAAATATCTGCATCAGTTTTCAGTTTATAAATATTTCTTATATGCCTATACTAATTTACTCAGTTTTCTTTTCCTACCTATTCTGATCCCTTTTTTCACATATCTTGAAATTTTCAAATCTTTGCAGTTTAAATGAAAAATATAACAGATAAGATTCTGAATGCATGTGTATGGCATCTCAATATCACATGTATGATTTTATTTCTCCTGATTGTCATTGTGTACCTGTACAAGTTTTACTGAAGGTAGAACATTCCACCATATCAATGTTCGTGTATGTCAGTGCACTTTGTCGTTGCAGATTATGTTGTCTGCATTTTCAGTTGCAGTTTTCCTTATCGTTGTTTAATAGACATGGTTCTATACTTTACGAGGTCCCCCAAACTTCCCTTGCAGCTGACTTTCTTACTATGCAACCTCTAATGCTTTTCGTTTAGGTTTAGCAGCTTTTATCTGAGGCGGCCTTTTTAGAACATTATTACTTTCACACAGCTGTGATGTCTCGTACAAAGTAGAAATTATCCTTCACCTTCCCCCTGAAGACCTGAAGTTCGGCAAATCACTGTAACTTGTGCCTGTATGCTTCACAATTTGACAATAAAATGGGAACCAAATTCTTACAGTAACTCGAGGAAAATGACCTTATCTCGCTCCCTGTTCTAGCTTTTTGTCTTCATTATTATGCTCTCAGTGGTACATGGCTGGTCAGTGTGTCTGGTCATCTGGTGCATGTTGGTGTTAATGTGTGTAGACAGTAGTAGTGGTGGTGTATATTTGGGTACCTTTCTTCTTTAGTGAATTGACATGTAGCTCTCATAGAGGGGAAAAAACTCAAGAAACATGAACTGCAAGAGCAGTAAAATGTATCACATATTGCTTTATGGATTTAATTTAACAAATACAAATAATGGTCAAGGTGGGGAGCATCCCCACCTGATCTTTTTTATGAATGTGTTCCCTGCCAACAAAATGTTATTAAAATCACAAGTTCATATAAATATAATTTTATAGTAATACCCTTTTAAAGATTTAAGAAGATATAGTCTATTCAGTTGGTATACAGAATTACAAATATGTTAACTGCATGGGGGATAAGAGAAACTTCCATTTGTACATGCTGATGTCTTAAATGTTAATAAGCTTCTGAGATTTGCTAACTAATAATCATATAATTTAATTTTAGTTCATACACTGTTCCATGAAAATTAAGTTACTACAAACAGCAAATGATAGTTTTGGAACATTAAAATAAATTATTCATTAAAAAAACATAAAATAAATTATATAGGGATGTTCACCGTAGTAATTTCTGTTGTTTGGAGAAATTTTTAATTTTAGAGCAACATTGCTTAACATGCTTCAGTTTTATACTCCCTCCACACGGACTAGTATATATGTGGGGAACTTCGACGCACTAGAACTGATTGAAAGAGCTAGATACAATATAATGCAGTTAGAAAGGTCCATAACTTCATTTCGGTTTGACTTACTTAATTTACTTTATATATATATATATATATATATATTGCTGTCTTCTGTAACTGCTGTTCTTGAGGTTGTTGTGAGTGCGTCCGAACTAATGTTGTATCCTACTTCTGACTTAGTTAGTTGACTGTTGAAACAAGTGCTTTCACATGTAGAAAATGAAACGATCTTTAGCTAGTCTATGCATATGTATGGTATATCGTGTATAAATATTACACTATGCTTTCTTGTAGGACATGAAGAGGTGCTATGGTAAATGTTACGTTAGTGAATATAATCGTACCGTTCTTTATCATACATATATATTGTTGTAATGTTGTGTATATTGTTTAGTTATTCATGTTTACAGTAATTCACTTCCAGTTTTAAATTGTTATTTCCACCTTTTCACAGTATGGACAAAATTCTTGAACGGTATGAGCGCTACTCCTATGCAGAAAAGGTTCTCATTTCAGCAGAATCTGATACTCAGGTAAATTCAATTTCCTTTAGCAACATATGAAGCTGTTTTGTAACTTCATTCAATATAATAGGCTCTAATTGATTCATTACTATAGCTTTTTAGCTTTTGTTCATCAGAAAATTTCTCCAGTTCCTGTCAAGTTGGACCAGAAGTACGATTTTTCATGCTGATCAAGTTTTACTGAATATACATATCTGTGTGGTCTTGATAGGATGTTTTTTAGTGGTAGTGTTTTTGTTGGTCATGGTTGTTTCTTGAGTTAAAAAGGCGTGAATCTGATGATCAGTACCTAGGGATGTTGGTGTGGGTGTATTGTATGGGTTCTTTACCCTCCTTTTCTTTTTAATATGAAAGATACACAACTCTCCCGTGTTAGAGAAGGAAAAAATGATCCCTTCATTACTTGTTTTGCCAAACAATTAACTTTTAGCTCCCTTACATAGATGTGCCATCCACACAACAAATCCGAATGCTATGAAACTAGATGAAGGCTAAGTCATCTAATGTGTATTGGCAGTTTAGATGGCATATGTGTAACCGGAACACGTGATGGCAAGGTGTTTTGTAGTGAACAGAAATATAGAAGGTGCAACAAGAGTAACTATATTTGCATTGATAGAAAGTTAAATTAATCAAGTAAGTTTAGTTAACTTGTATTAGAATTGTTCGTTCATTTTGCAGCTTTCAAATCTTAGAATAAATGCTAAAAAGGTAAACCGGTTCAAGTATCCAGTAACAAAGCATTGTTGCACAAAATATGCTGTAATTGTTGTAGTGCATCCAAATCCCTCCAGTCTCTAATACATGACGTTCGGGCAAAATTAGTACGACGTTAGGACAGCCAAATTAGTAAAATTTGTACTAATTTTGTTCTAACATCATCATGGATTAGTAACTGGAAGGAATTGCAATTTTATCCAGCCCCTACATTATATACATGGTATATATTGGTCTTTTGAAACCACAAAGCTCATATATATGTCAGTTTTGGATAATAAACTTCGCTGTTAGAATCTGATACCCCCGTTATGCACAGTAACCCTCGGATCTTCGAAAGGATATTACGAGTATGACACAATCTTGCACCGTATTAAGAACGATGTAGTTGTATCGTGTAGAAAACCCTAGATGACGATCAAGCAACTATGACAAGAGATTAGGATTTGACGAAGCAGGTTGCACATTCTATAAGCACAACTCCAAAAGAGTACAAGTGATTGTAGCTCTCTCAACAACCCTATGAGTCACCATACAACACTTCACTACTAGCCACATTTCAAATAAAATTAATAGATTTAGCAACTTGATGTGTTTCTGACATTTAGCAGCCTGTCAGATCTCTTGAATATTTTGTTTGGTTGTCCAAAAGATAAGTTTGTGGAACACTGATCCTCTTCCTCTCCTCCCATCCCCAATCATCTTCCCCACATATACTCATATGTCATATCAACTAACTGGTCTCAATGCTACTGTTGTTAACTTGGCCAGAAAACTACTAGAGCTATCTTGGGAAAGGACATTAACTATTAATACAGGTTCTGGGTCAAAAACTCTACTACAGACTTCAGGTCCATTTCTAGTAAACTCAATATGATGGTAACAATGTTATCAAGTCGTCCAACTAATCGCGATCAGTCAAACTAATCGGTGCCATGGTGATTGGCTATGCACTACGATTAGTCACAATTAGTCGGGCTGATTGGTGCCATGACGACTAGGATTGATTAGACGATATGATAACATTAGGTGGTAAAGCCATAAAAAGTATACCCCTATCACCAATTCGGATTTACTAAGATCAGACCATATAACTTGACAGCATTTTTCTATTGAGAATATTTGACACCCCAAAATGTCATTCATGAATAAAGTGTATCAGACAGTCCAAAGAATATCTTAGTATTATTTTATTCATATTGTAATGTTTGTGAGGTGAAATGGTTCGTAAAAGTAGGGATGTAGGCTTAATATGCTCTTTGTATTAAGAGAAATATGCATTTATAGATCCTGAATACCAATAGTATGTGATACCAGTATGTATAGGAGTTTAGGACAGTTTCTGGAGGCACAGGAAACACTATATCCAAATGTATTATATGTTGTCAACTGTTTTCTCACCATTTTCTTATAATAATCCATGGAGCTTTCTCATATTTTTTTACTAAATATGGTGCTAGTCCTAGTTATGAGCAGTAATAAATTATGTTTTAAATTAGTACTCCCTCCATTCAAAATTGTATCGTTCTAGCTTTTTTTTTTAATATACATAGCTTTTGCAAAGCACTAGATATATATTATGTCTAGCTATATTATAAAACTATGTATCTAGAAAAGTCAAAACGACTTACAATATGGAATAGAGGGAATACAAAGAATACTGTACTACAGGGCAGTCCTGGGTTCACATAACTATCCCCGGTTATTATGTTGAGTGTCTCCTTCAATTTTGATATACTGAATCAATAGCATTCCTTTTCATGATATTGGCCCATATTAAATAACGTAAATCTTCTTTGCTTTGTGTAGGGCAACTGGTGCCACGAATATAGAAAACTAAAGGCGAAGATCGAGACAATACAGAAATGTCAAAAGTAATTTGTAGTGTTTAGTTACTGAAAATATGTAATATGCCCTGTTGAAGATAAATATGACCAAGACCTGTGTATCCTGCAGGCACCTCATGGGAGAGGATCTTGAAACTTTGAATCTCAAAGAGCTTCAGCAACTAGAGCAGCAGCTGGAGAGTTCACTGAAACATATCAGAACCAGGAAGGTAGTGTGATCATATATATTAGACTGCAGTGCATTACTTATGTGGTGCCTACTAGGCCACTGACAGCCATGCGCTCTGCATGTTGGAAAGCTAACAAGTAAATATTCATGGCATGTGCAGAGCCAGCTTATGCTCGAGTCAATTTCACAGCTCCAACGGAAGGTAAATTGTTGAGCTCGCTTAAACTTCCTTTTTAAGAATTGTATGATTTCTTTAGCTGCCCATTAGATGGACATGGTTTGTTGCAAGTATTGACTACTTTGGTTGCCTTGTTACATCCACAAAATATTCCTGCTCTTGCGCTGTGCTGAGTGTTGGCATGCGCTGCCATTGTTACCGCAGGAGAAGTCACTGCAGGAGGAGAACAAGGTTCTGCAGAAGGAGGTAGGCAGACCGCAGACGCTGCTGCTACTCAACACGTCGCCTCATCGATGCTCAGCTGGCCCTCTGTTTTCTCAGGAAGCAAATTAAATTTACAGAAAGCGTTACTCCTGCCTGCAGCTCGCGGAGAAGCAGAAAGCCCAGCGGCAGCAAGTGCAACGGGACCAAACTCAACAGCAGACCAGTTCGTCTTCCTCGTCCTTCATGATAAGGGAAGCTGCCCCAACAACAAATATCAGGTAGATCACATTCACATCGCACTACAATCCCAATTAGTGAGGTGACCTCATTTTCGGGTAAAGATTTAAGTGAGGTTGGGCTTAGCTAAACCCCATTTTAAAAAAATACATTTGTGCATTTTTAAAATTAGTGAAAAAATGTAGATTCTTGTAGACCATGGGCAATGTTGACAGTTGACACACAATGTTCATTTATGAGCCACAAAGAAAAAGATTGCGAAATGATACTCGTTTTTTTTCTTCACAGAAAGTATGTGGTCAAATTTTTTTCTACAAATTTTCGTGTGTCAATATAATTAATCATCCACGTATGCATTTTTTTGATAAATTTTAGAATTGCGGTTTTTATCTTGTAAATTTCCTAAACAGTAGCCGTACGCCTATACTCCACCAGGTTACACCTAGGGCCAATTTCCTGCCTCTGCTGACATTTCAGGAAGCAACTGACAAGAAAAATGACCGTCCGGTTTTTGCAGCATCTTCCCTGTGGCAGCAGGTGGGAGAGTGGTGGAAGCGGCAGCAGCGCAGCCGCAGGCTCGCGTTGGACTGCCACCATGGATGCTTAGCCACCTGAGCAGCTGAAGGTTTCTTTTCACCATCGCGGTGTGGTAGCCCAAAATTCAGGAACTCGCTTCTCCGCCTGGTGCAGTATCGTCGTGATCGCGAGAAGCAGCAGTAGCGGTCTACCGTATTTTTTACCACCATATATAAGTAGCAAATCTGCAATGTGTATATTTTGTTCACCGTTTCCGCTGGTCGGTCGCACGAGTACTTTACGCATGTAATGTAATATATGTGCAGCATCGAATATTCCATTTCCATGACCATAACACGTGCCGGTTTGTGGTAGTTTCGAGTCTCACATAATACGTACACATTCATATCACAGTGGCCTTGATCCTTTGCATCAAGTTTCATTTCTACAGAATACAGCTTTGTAGTCGTTTCCCTTTATGCATCAAATTCCATATCTTTGTTGGTCGTTCCAAATTACGTACAGATTAGGGATGCAGCTGCATATGTAACAACAATAGAGAGGAATGCATCCGATTTAATTGCGATGTTCTGATGTCTCCTAGGCGCCTTTTACTACAAAAATGCAGATAACTGAAAACCAGAGGACGATACCATTCTGTCGGATAAATTAATAAAGATGGTCTTAAAAAAGAATGATCTTTCTGCCATCGGTCACGTACAACCGTTTCGCCACCATAAATCGAGGTGTTTACCATCCCAGGTCATAGCTGACACGAATGCCTACCGAACCGCACCCCCCCCCCAAAAAAAAAAAAGAGTCACATTTAACACAAGCTAAAGACACTTCTAAGAACGGTAATAAACATTCTCTGAACTCTGTACCTTGACACTACAGGTTAAAAGGAGGATGCGACTAAGGCATGTGTAAAAAAGAGACTGAGTTGGGATGCCTATTAGGATAACCGAGGTAGCTTCTCCTTCAGCCGCGAAATGAACTTAAATGTCTCCTCTGCTCTTACTTGTTGATAAATATCATTTCTTGATACCCTGTCCGGATGGAATTTCAGAAGAGCTTGCTTGAAGGCTTTAACCTGAAAAGGTTAAGTAATCTCATCAAATTAACTATTATGTTACAGATATTCCTAAATCTCTTCTATGTCCCGAGCAGAAAGCTTATATATTAGTCTCTGGGAAAAAAAATGAACTCCTTGAATAAGAACACAGGTTTATGAAATAAAGGTAGCTACTGATCTTCACTTATACAGAGTTATTGCCTTATTGGCTTAGTCTCACTCCCTCTGTTCCAAATTATATGCTTTTTGGCTTTTCCAGATACATAGATTTTACTTTTTTTTTAACTGTGTCTAGCGTATATATCTAGGTGCATAGCAGAAGCTATATACCTAGATAGAAAAGTCATAAGGACCTATAGTTATGGGACAAAGGGAGTACCGAAGTACTGTCATTACCCTTATCTGTTCTATTTTTCTTAAAGACTACTTGCAGAATCTAGTCCTGCGAAGTTGATATACAGTTGCTGTATATGTACATATTCATCTGCCTGCAATTGCAGAAGCTACCCATAGCTGTTCATAAAACTCAGACACTTGGGGTTTTACTTTTATATGGTTAAAAGAGACAAGGGCCAACAGTGTTTGTACTAGGCAAAACTACACAAACAATATGACAAAAAAGAAGCTAGCAGCAAAAAAAAAATTACTTTTTATGGTTAAAAGAGACAAGGACCAACACTGTTTGTACTAGGCAAAACGTACACAATCAATATGACAAAAAAGACGCTAGCAGCAAATAATTTTTCTTATAACCAGCAAGTGATGGGTTGAGTGTATCCATAAGAACAGGGCATACCTCACCACCTTCAACAGAGATGCCTAGCGCATGCAATATTGAAGTCATATCCCAATGTCTCCTTTCCAAATCTTCCAGTTCCTTTCTGACTACACCCCGATACTGCTCCTTAAGCTGTATAGCTTCTTCATTCTACAGGAAGAAAGAAAAGTTAAGTGCCATATAATGCCAAAGAAATATGAAGATTTACAATGAATTCTACTAGCATAACACTGGATACTGGTAGAACGAGAGACCTTTCTCTGTGATTCACGGACTTCTTGCAATCTTTGCTTTTGTCTCTTCTCCATGTCAAGCAAGCGTTGAGCTTCAGCTTTCTTTCTCTTTCGCAATTTCTTTGCTTCCTCAGCCTACACAATGTTTTCAACAAACAAACATCATGAGTTGTGACAGATCCAAACAAATTAGTAGTCTTAGTCTGATAGCTACTTTGATTATCACTCCCTTCGTCCAAAATAAACCAATTCCTAGAATCACCCTAAGTCAAACTACCTCAAATTTGACCAACTTTATAGGAAAGGGTAACAATATCATTGACACCAAATAAGCAAATTATGAAAATATATTTCATATATCTAGCGATAATAATTTGCTGTCATAAATGTTGGAGCTCTTTTTCCTATAAATTTGGTCAAACTTAAAATAGTTTGACTTAGGACAACTCTAGTTGATTCAAATTGATTTAATTTGGAACAGAGGGAGCATCTTTTTTTATTAAAAAATAAGTCTAAACTTAGGCAGGCATTAGCCTGCCACAACTGAAATCACATTGAATACAGAATGCTGGATGTTATGTTCCCAAATTATGCATGGCATCACATATTTCTAGTATATAGTTTAACATCAATTCAAAGTAGCACAATACTGTACCTGTATTTGTAATTGCCGCTGTCTCGATGCCCACTCCTCCTCTGCTGCCCGCTTGTACTCAACAGATTCTTTGTGTTTTTCACGTTCACCAATCACTGACACAAATTGCCCTAAGTCCTCGGGATCTTGAAGCAAATCCTTACCCCTGACAGGACCATTATCTTGAGCAGAATAAATATTTGTGTTATAGGAAGCTTCAGGTGGTGACTGATACTTTTGTGAATATACATCTTCAGGTATTTTCTCATCAACCTTTTCAGGAGTACTGACAGAAATTGGAGGACTTCCATCTTTCCTGTCCGTTGACGAGATCCCAGAAAAAACACTATTTGCAGAGGCAAAGTTATAGGCAGAGTTTTCATCCGGCCGAGGCGATTGAACCCCTTCTGAAGCTTTTTCAGAACCAACCATTGAACATTCCTTGACATTTGGCACTGAAGACTGGTCATGGTCATCCTTTGACCTGCCGGTATTATTTTGCACATCTTCGGCATTTGGCACAGAAGGACCATTGACACCCTTTGCATTGCCAGCACTACTTTGAGCATGCCCAGGGCCTTCCTTTGTACCGCCGCAACTATTTTGAGAGTCATACTTGCTTGCAGCGCTGTAAAACCAAGACATACTCTCATCTGGATGGCGTTCGGCACCAAAGAGATGCTCAGAGTTTTTACCTGGCTGTGTCTCCACCCCAGCACATGATGTGAATGCAGTAGCCCCAGCATCCTTACACTCATGGACACCATGAGGCAGCTTTTTTCTGGAAGCAGCCGTCTCCCACATCTTACGGGCTGTACCAGTGTCATCGAGAATCTCACAATCAGAGCTGCCATCGTCAGTGTCAGAGTCCCATCCTCCGGTAAGATCGCTCTCAGAACTGTCAGACATGGAATCCAACCCATATCTGTTCCCTGGAGAACCCCGACCCGGTGTCATTGCTGCTGGAGACCCAGAAGCACGGGACATGCTGGGACCTGCTTTATCGCCTCCTGTACCATCTTTCTCGTCTTCATCATCATCTATGTTGATCACGTTACTGGAGGAGCGGTTCCCTTTCCTGGCTTGAGACCCAGGTCCCACCGCAGAAGCTGATACTCCCGCAGCTGCGCCGTCGATTATGAGAACCTCCGAGTCGGAGGTATCGTCAGTATCATCGTCCTCATCGCTGAGCACCACGGTGCAAGGCGCGGACTTCTGCGCGGGGAAGACCCGCGTCCACCGCGTCCGGCTGAGCCCGTTGTGAGGGGTGAAGCGGAACCGCCCCCACGACATGGCTAGCCTGGCCCGGAGACGATCGCCGCTGCAGGCTGGCGGCTATAGCATGCCGACACCCGCGACAACCTCAGGGTTCCACGGCGATCCTGCAGGGAAAACGACAAGCATGTAGATTCAATCGAACGCGATGGCGGAAATGCGCGATCAGGAACCCTAATTCGCAGGAATGGGCGTGGGACGGCGTTGAAAAAGAGGGGACTTACCGTGGTAGCGACGCCGGCGGTGAGATTCGGGGAGTGATTGAATCTGGGACCCAAGAAACCGAGCCGCCGGGCTCCCCGCCGCCTGCTCGATTTGGGAAAGAGGGGGAAGGAGTTCGGAGTTGGTGGGGCGTGGACGCGAGGCGACGCGACCAAGCCGAGGGAGGCGGTGGAGAGCAAGGAAGGGGATCGATCGAGCACGAGAGCAGGATGGAAAATCCGCCTCTTTTTTTTTTTGATTTGGGATTTGGGATTTGGGATTTGGACTTTTGGTGAGGACTGAGGAGTACTTGCGAGAGCAGCGGGGAGGAGGAGGAAGGCGGAGACTGCGGGGGAGGGTCAGAGACGGAAAGGTTGCCATTGCCAAAGCCGCGCGGCGAAATCCAGCACGGCTCTTCCGCGAATTTTCCCCACTCCAACAAATGCGTGCGGTTCCTTCGCCTCCGCGCGCGCGTGCGGCCGGGTGGTGTGGTGTGTGTGCCCGCTGGGCCGCGGAGCGCGGTCGCCTGCCTGGCTACCTGTGAAGCAGATGGGCTGGGCCTGGGCTCATGCGGTCACGCCTGTGGACGTCAGTTTCACGCACAGTTGCACAGCAAATCTTTGCTAAAAAAACAAAAGTTGCACAGCAAACTACGCGAAATTCCCTCCCAAAAAGAAAGTTACGCGAACGTCTAGTATATCTATAGATGTGAGCTTAGGTTACACTTAATATGTTTTGAAATTATACTTTATACTATTATATGTAAATTATTTTAACTTATATGAGCACGGAGTATGATCTTCTTCTTTTTCAAACTTACTTATAAGCCCCGAAAACAAAATTCTTTTTATCTGTACGGTTCTTTCGTTTCTAGCACTTAATTAACGGTGTTAAG